CTGCATCTGACAAGCAGCAGTTTGGCAACCACCAGAGAGGTGGCTATACAGCTCCTACTGAGAATGAGTTATTACAGCAGAATCTGAGCATATTTCTCTGCAGAGCTCCAACACTTTATCTGCTTTGGACCATGGAAGAACTGATAACTTGTCAAAGCTACTTCTACTTTTCTGCTGCTTTCAAACGTTTTTCCTGTAATTCCTTTCTTCTTTTTGTGCCCTCCTGCACTGAAAATATTCTAATACACAGTGACAGCACTTAGGGCTGATTAAAGTGTTTGTAAGTGATGACAAAAATATGCTTAAAGGGCAGATGGCTTGCAAGGACAGATCAGCAAAAAAGAAGGAAAATAATTTATGAGCAGAACCTACTTTAAATTTGCAGTAGAATCATTACCTTCACCATCCTCAATGCATCAGGAAAGCAAATAATTGTAATTACAGATGGGACATAGCTCTTGCATATTTAAAATCCTCAGTAATTACTGCAGTGAAGGAAGTCAAGTCAAATGCAGCAAGTCATTTTTTTCTTCCACAGAAATGAAACAGATTTAATATTACCCTTGTCTAAAATTCATCCAATTCTGTAATTTAACATTTGTTTAAATGATATTAGTCTTAAAAAAATAATAAAAATCTGACTCCTGCACTTAAAAAAAAAATAATGATCGCTTTAGGGAGACAAAATGAACGTTTAATACATGCTCTTTTTTTTTTTTTTCTTTTTTCTTTCTAAATGGGAGATTGATAACACATTTTCAATCTAGGCACTCCGCCTGTGGGCAGCGTGCTGGCTTCAACAATTCTCCAGCTACTACAGCCCTGTTAAGCACTGTGCCAGACAGTGCCTTATTCAGAAGAACTAAAAACGGACTGTTGACTTCAGCTGTAGTCTTGCCCAAGCTAGGCTCATAGTACTGGTTTCAAGACAATCCTGTGGGGTACAGCCTGACAGTTCCTGTCAAGGTTAGACTCTCTGCATCAAAAAGTAAACAAGCCACACGCTTCATGAGCTCCAGTGAGGTGCAAAAACTTCCCATGAACTCATCTCCGGTGGCAGAAGAAATTTTGACTGAAATGGAAACATGAATGCACACCAGAGGATCAGTATGGAGTGGAACATTGCTTAGGAAGTCCATACTTAGCACAGCATCAGTTCCTCCTGAATACATCTCTGTGCTTACAGCACTCCTCACCTCTCCATCACACTGCTGATGTGTGTGACATAACAGGACAGTTCAAGTACCTTCTAAGGAACCAAAGCGAAGATAACCGGTCTGTAATTCCTCCTTTTAGTCTTTTGAAAGGTAGACAGTAAGTTGGGTTTTTTTTCTAGTTTCCACTCACATCTGTAAAAATTCCTGAACTGGGTGCCAGTTACTTAGAAAGCACAAAGTAATTCCCTGTGGAAATGTCTTTATGCAGCAAGTTATGAATGCAATTAAAGAGTTTTCATTAGGAGTTATGATTGCTTAGTGTAAGACAATCATGTATTTTCAAGCCACTAATGCCACAGATTTAACCAAAAATATAGCAAACCACAATTTGATCTATAAAATTCCCGCAGAAACTAAGTTCACTTTCTACTCCCTTCTCCATCTCAAAAACTACAGTTTATCTGGGGAGGCATCAGAGGCTTTTTTTGTTCCTTTAGGTAGAAATCAGACTATGCAAAAAACTGTTCTGTCTGCCCCAAAACCCAACCACTGAAAAACAGTATCACAGAAATAGAGAGCATATATCTACTTTTGTTATCTACTTTGCAGCCTACTGAGGCTCAGAACAGGCAATGAACAATGGAGGAAGCAACAAGCAAACTAAACAATCCTAATTAAGTAAAGGATGAAGCTGCAAGTTTTCCAGCCCTTTGCTTTTGGTATCAATGAATCACATTCAGTTTTGAAATTAACCTGAGCTAAGTCTTCAGTAAAAATAGTACCTTCCTTTAGTACCATGTGCTTTCTAGGGTTTTTTTCTACATAGTTCACGTGTTTTGATCTGCACTGATGTTTCCTTTTTTCACCAAACAAACCTGGAAAACCTAGTGATGAACTGCTTATGACTTTACCTAATCTAGGGTTTATGTAAAGGCACAGGCACTTTTGACATTTAAAAATTAATTTTAAGCCTTAATGTGACAATAAATGCTTTGAACCACCGGCATTAACAATGCCGTAAAGACAAAGCTAACAGATAAAATAACAGCGAGTTGGTAAGGAATGGGAGTGTCTCTCCTAGTATTAAAAAAGGAAAAAACCTCCGCATCCTCACATAATGTGTAGGAATGACAGACCTGCTCTGATTAAAAAGACAGAGTTGATAGGCTTAAAGTACATGTTTAGGATCCTAGACTTGGCTTAACTCAAACAGCTTTGACTGGATGGGGTCCCTCAACAGTATTAAAACTGCTCTAATTGCATTCTTCAAGCCAGCTGAAGGCTGACAGCTTCCGCTCTCCCGCTCACTATCAGGGCACATCAAGGACTTCTGTTATGAGAGGAGCACCTGGTCCAAATTTATTTCAACAGCCCAGAGCAAAATGGGAAGGTGCTTAATGTTCAGCCACAATAGTGACATTTTTACGATACATCCAAAGTTCAGAAACAAACAAATGAAGGATTTGAAAGGCGCACAAACAGAAATGGTGACAATAAAAATTCAACATTAATATATCAATTTTAAAACATATACCACCCATATTCTGGAGGGCAAGGCCAAAAGTTCAAGGCAGAGAAAAGAAGAAATCTGTGTAGCTAGCTTGGAAGGGAAAAAAAACCCCAAATCTCTCTATCACTTTTTGAAAGAAATGCTGACCCTTTACTAAAAAGGGCATGTTTAATTTCATCCTATATGAAATTAATACTACAAGTAGTACCACTCATTTCACTCAAAACTGGTGACACATTTCAGCTTTAGCAGAATAACAAGTGATATAAAGCTTTTCTACTTCACCTTTTCTAGTTTGTGCCCCTCTTCCTGCCTCAATACAAAAAAATCAAATTAACTGGAGAGGCAGGGGGAGACGCACACAGGTAATACTATAAAATCTTCATATCAGTAGTGAGAGATGAGCAAAATTTATTCCGGTGTTAAAGAGTCTTGAATAATTTTCCCCAATCTCTTTGAAAAATACCATTGCTGTTTTCAGTCGAACCTTTACGAACATGACACTCCACTCAATTCAAAATTAGGCCAATTTTATTTCTGCAGCTACAACTAAATTAAAATTACAGTCATTATGTAAATTTGCAGAAGACTTCTCATGCACAGAATGACAGAAGATCAGACACTGCTCTATTATTTTTTTAATTTCAGAAATTGAAATGCTGAAATTGCTTCACAGTAATCAAGGCACATCACACAGTATAGCAAAGTAAAGCAGAAAACCACACAACCCTGCAATGACATAGGAAGGGTCAATTACATCATTATAAATAACCACAATTAGGAACAATTTTAAATGTGTGTTGCCTAAACAAGAAACTAATTATTCTACATTAAGTAATTCCATACTATTTATAACACAGAGCTGAGTTCTACACCTTGGAAATTTCTATTCAGGTATAAGAATGTACTGAAAGAGAGAAAGTAAATTCTTTAATCAGTAAACTGGCTTTTATACTGCAGTAGAAAGCATCTATTTCTTCCTATTTGGCAATTACTGTCTTACTTTCCAATCAGTATGTATGGCCAGATTTGCTGCCTCATCTGAAGTTATTAGCATGCACACATGTGCTATATTTCTTTACCAAATAGATAAAAGTGTAATTTAGTAAGTGACAGAGAGAATCTGCAGTACAATTGAAACTACTCAAAAAAGACCTCGTTCAAGACAGACTGCAATACATAACTACAAATACACCATCTTAAAAATAAATCCCAACAAATTTATGGAACAGTTAATACTGCAATTTCTTGTAATCTTAAGATTACTGCAGCTCTGCCTTCTCATGCAATTTCCCCTTTATTCTGCATGGCGAATTAGAGAACAATGCCCAAGCACAGACTTTCCTTGACAGTGTCTGCTGATACCAGTCGTTAGTATTTTCCTGGATGTTGTGCTTGACCAGCAGCATACTTCACAGAAATATTTTCTTTCTGCTTGCTTCCTATTAACTGGGACAAACTTCCCTTATGTGTCTCTCAAGAACAGCCTCGCTTTTCCTTATTTGACCTACAAAACACACTGACATTTTTCAGACAGGAATTTTTAGTGTACTGACAGACATTTTCACTGAATAAGCAATGATTTTTACTGAGAATCAGCATGTAACAGCATTTAAAGTCCTTTAAAATCCAAATCCCAACCTCATTCTTCCATAAAGATTCTAATGAATAAACAGTATTTAAAACAACAATAAAAATCTGGTGGCGAAAGAGGGAAGACGCATCAGGAGAAATGGATGGACAGTGAAAGAAAGAGTTAACAAAAACTGCAGTACACTCAAAATGAGCTATAAAGGTTCCATAATGAACCTTCTAGTCCTGAACTATCTCTCAGGCGCATTCACTTACATTTCTTTATGCTGCCATCTCTCACTGCAAGTATAACAAGAAAGTTAAAACGTAATTTTACATGTAGGTATATCACCTCAAATTAGCAACATAAAATTACTGACATTTATTCTAAAGAAAGCCCTACTGGCTAGAGGTAAAACGCTGAACTAGCATCTGTCAGTACTGCTAATTGAGGTAAGGTTGGGAACTATAAAGTACTATTAAAGGAGTAAAATAATACCAAATGGAAATGCTGAGAAGGTACACTACCCTTCTGACATGCTAAATTATTATCCTGATTAAAGTAGCTAGTATGTTTGACTCTTAAAAGTGCCATGAACAGTAATGTGCTTCAGAATTGCAAGGAACATTCTTATGGGCCATAGTACCTGAAAAAACACGTTAACAAATTCTTGCAATATAATATCTATAGATTTGATGTGTTTTTAATGAAGTGTTCCATCTGTATTTTTAAAAAGCATCCATCTTTTTTAGAGAAAAAGCACGAGAAAATGCCATATTTTTACCTCCAGCTTCAGCAGTTCCACCTGGCTCTCTGTGGTCTTAAGTTTTGAGCAGATCTTTGGACTACAAGCTGTTTGCAAGATTCTTGCCATCATCTTGCGAATGGATGACAGTGGATAAAATCCAACACTGGACTCAAAGGTAAAATAATTATATGTAGGAGTATTAAAAAAATTTATCCAACTTCATCTTTTTTTTCTTCTTTGGCATCTCTACCCCTTTGACAGCACAGCATAACAAAACCTGTAGAGCTCTGTCTGTTCATTTGGGAGCACAGCAAATTTTACTGTGTCATGTAGAAGTCTTCTAAATAAATTCAGTTATGAAACAGACGCTCCTTCTTCCTTTACCAGGAGGAGCAGCAGGGGAAGAAAAACCAAAGACTTTTCTGATCTTCATAGTCTGACCTATGCCTACAATTTGTTCCTAGCCACAGCTTTTAGAAAATTCACACTTAAAAAACACCAATAAACACGGTACAAAATAAAGGCAATATGAAGAACATTCAAGGATGAGAAGGACTGCATTACATTTACTTCTGTGTGACTAAGTGTGTTAATTTTCAGCAGCTACCTGCTTGTTGAGAAACATGTTGGAAGGTAGGGCAGTCACAAGCGTATGCCTACTCTGCTTGAAAACATTAAGTTGTGCCAGTTTAAAAGCAAACATTTATGGCCAGATCCTATGGGATTTGTTTTTGCACAGTCTGCTTGCACGAGGAAAAAAATACAATATACATCTCTAGCTTGCTAAAAACTTTCATTACAGCACTAGTTGACAAAGAGAAAGCTCATGCCTTCTCCTTAACCCCAGATAAACTGACAAATGTCACATTATTTAACATTTGGACATACTAAAATGAAGCCAAATAGAGCATACTGGAAGCTGAAAACACTTTCCAGGCTCAGTTACATGAAACTTTGTAGATCTTTCACAGAATCTTTAACCTCATGAAGTTCAACAAGGAGAAGTGCAAAGTCCTATACCCATAGAAGAACATCCCCATGCACCAACATAGGCTGGGGCCACTCAGCTGGAAAACAGCGTGGCAGAAAAGGACCTTGGAGTCCTGGTGGACACCAACCTGAATATAAACCAGCAGCAGGGCAATAAGGCAAATGGTATCCTGGGCTGCATTAGACTAAGTTTTGCCATGTTAGTTCACACCTGGGGTACTAGGTCCAGTTCTGGCTTCTTTGGTACAAGAGAAATATAGACACACTGAAGAGAGTCCTACAAAGGAATGCTAAGATGACCAAGGGACTGGAACATCTTTCCTATGAGGAAGGGCTGAGAGAGCTGGACTGCTCAGCCTGGAGAAGGTTCAGGAGCATTTCATCAATGTGTATAAATACGTGAAGGAAGGGTATAAAGGTGGATTCAGGCTCTTTTCAGTGGCACCTAGTGGCATGACAAGAGGCAATGGACACAAAAATGAAACACAGGAGGCTGTGTGAACATCAGGAAACACTTGCTGACTGTGGTGGTGACTAACAGGTTGTCCAGGGAGTCTCCAGCCTTTGAGATATTCAAAAGCTGCCTGGCCATGGATCTGGGCAACTGGATCCAGGGGAACTTGCTTGAGCAGAGGGGCTGGACCACCATACCTCCAGAGGTGCCTTCCAACCTCAGCCATGTCGTGATTCTCTAATAGCTTCAGAATTTTTATGTGCACTTTACAGACACCAGCGTAGTGTTTCCATATTCTAAATGACCTGAAAGTCAGGTTTTGTGCATGTATGCACACATGCACATATGCACACAAACATCCTCATTCATTTTAAAAGATAAGACAATCAGGATTTAATTATTTTGCCATTTCAAGAATTTCACATCCCAAGGCCTCCCCAGAAAAACCCCACCTAGCCTGAAAAGTCATGGTGAATCTACTGCATATGAACAGTTTCTGAGAGGGGAAAAGGACACTGTTATTCCTGAGTTAAGAATGTCAGAATAGTCTGTCAAGCTAATGAAGGAGTTGCCTGCTGAAAAAAGTCCCCGATTTAAGAAAAAGAATAAAGAAAAGCCTCAAAAGCCACCAAAGTTCTCCCCTGTATTTTGTCAGCATTCAAGTGACATCCATACTTCAGAATTAACAGAAATGCACCAGTTAACTGGGGCATTAAAGCAACCTCGGTAGAGCTGGACAGTTTGTAAAGTTCATTAGCACCCAGATTACCTTCCTACAGACTCTTTAAGCCCCTCACAATCGTCTGAAAGATCATTAGATTCTGACACATCGTTCTTATATATCCAAATGACCTTTCAGATATGCTGTTCAGGTTTCACTGTTAGCACTGCATGCCAAATGTCACCAAAATTTTTTCAAGTTAAGTGTCACCAGAAGACATTTTGACAGGCCATTTTGTCACTAGATATAGCAACAGAATTACGTTACGCTGGAGGTGAGGCAGGGAGTGAAAGAGAGAAAAAGCATCTGATCCCTAGTCAGTGCAGCATTGCTTTTGGTACCTTCTATAGTTTGTCAGTGTATACACGGTGCTTTTTTGAGGAAGGAGAGGCCATTACTCCATGTAGCTCAAGGCTCCTGGCATCCTCAGTTTTCACAGGGCATTTTAAGAGGTCAACAGAGCTGGAGAAAACAGGCAGCATGGGCTGCATTAGAGGGCAGCTCCTCAGTTGCAAGTACCACCTAGGTTTCCAAAAAGGGGCAGCTTTTCCCAGAGTAACCAGTTTCAATGAATGCAGACTGATACACCACTTTCCAAGACCTCACATGTAGTTTGGCACATGATCACAGAACAATCTCATCTTTTCTGAGGCGCAAGCTCAGCTTACACCCCATCACACAGCAAAAAGCAGGGCATACACCACACGGTGCACCAAGATTGCCAGAATGAACACAACCAGTCCTGTACCTCTAGGTGCAAAGAAGGCAGGCACACTAATACTTCAAGAGGATTAGGGGAGACAGGGGAGAGAAGAGGAAAGATGCACTGTTTACAAGTCTGAGTGTCCATCCTTTGACTAGCTAGTCTTTTCCTTCTGAAGAACTTCATGGAACAAGATGACCCAATTCAAACAAACATCAGAAAAAGTCTACCGTATTTTTTGAACCAATTGGTACAAATGAAAACCATGAGAAACTGAGTGTGAATGAGCAAACGATCAGAAGACAGGAACCCATACAGCTTCCACAGCCAAGAACAATTTGCCATAAAAGGAGTTCCTGGTAACTGCCAGAAAGCTGAAATATTTCTAAGGATTATTCAGCAAGTGGACAAGTAGGAAACCTTGGGTCAGGACCACTTTCTAATGCTTGTCTCTTTCCACTTTGAAATTGTTGTCTTTTATCAGCACCATGAGCACACGGGGCTTACAGAGGAAAAAGCTTCCCTATCCTTAGGAGCATGGCTGCACCTTCAAATGGGCTTCAGCAGCATTTGGGAACAGTTCACCTGACTACCACCAACGTTACAGGGTGCTCACTGCACGTGAGATTCTAGAGAAGTTGGACTTCTCAGAGCCATACAACTCATGGTGTTCATTTGCTATTAGACAGAGAGCTTACCAATGGAATTTTAATGAACAGTCATGACCAACCTGCTGGACAAGCAACATAAAACAATCTTCTTATGCAAACAAACTATAACATTATAGGACTGCAGGAAATTTCACATCACACACACTGAACACATGAACTAGACAGCAGTGCGTACGTGTGTATATCTGCTCTACATGCTACCTGTCAAAGCAGACCGCCTACAGCTTAGTCAGGAAGAGGCTTTAAAAACCTTGTGAAAACACAGATGATAAAAGGAACTAAGAGGGTGGTACAAAGTAACTAGCTTCTCCAAATAAATACTCTGCACAGCTGTAAGCTACATTTCGAGTTCCTGGGGAAGCAGGAACAAATCCTCAGATAAAAACCACATCTATTTAATGAATAGATACGTGGGAGCAAAGAAAGGGCTGACATTTCTACAGCAACAGACTTAATGGTGATGGAAGTATTTAATTCCACGTTTTCGATTACATTTTCTGGCTTTCACTGCTCTTTTTGGTTACAATGCAAACTGCTTAGCGTATTTGTGAGGGTTTGGGAGTATACAAATCAGAAAACTCTGAAGCCATAATGTAAGTCTGCAAAACTGGGTTGACTTTTTTCCATGTACAAGCTTTACCCACCCAGGAAAGTTTCCAGAAACACAAGCTGAACCTTGAAGTTTGTTAGATGCTCTTTCCCAGGCCTTTATAAACCAAACGCAATAAAACACTGTAGGCAAAGCATTCTAATCTTAGACACCATGTACAGTACTTATAGCAACCACCCTATGGAAGTCTTGTTATTGCTGCCTATTAAAAAAAGAAATCTGAAAACCAGAAAGTTAAAGCCTCACTGCTGTGGAGTAAAAGAATGGCCTTTTTATGGTGTGCTACTGCTGCCTTAAGGGGTAAATCCTGTTTAGGGCAAACCCTAGAAACAAAAAAGCCCAGCATCACTGTTGTATTAAACAGATCCCTCTTTTTGCTGATTTTATGGCACACATAGAGCCAAAAACCTCCTTATCAGAACAAATGCTCAACTACTTACTTTGGAGCCAATTAAAAAGGACTGTAAGATGACTTTTAAATTAAGTCTTTCAAGATATCCAACCAGCCAAGTAAACTGTGAGAGCCGGATGCCCACCCTCAAAAGGTTTAGTGCTAGCTTCCCACCACCCACTCCCTCTTTCATAAAATAAAAGTTATTTCAAATTCCAGGTTCCTTCTTTGATATATCCAAGCTGCTTTTTGGGAGGATTGGGCTTTTTATTTGCAGATAGGGCGGGAGTAGGGGGAAGAGGGAGGGAGAGAGGAGAGAGAATCAAAGCTACACAGGTTCAATTCCTATTACAAATGGAAAAATTTTAGGCTCCTAAAAATATCAGTCATGTTAGAAATTATATGCCAAAACCCAACAGTGAACAAACTGCAGAGCCAAAGACAGTAAAAGCATGAAGGTATCCATCTGCAGATAACTGGCATCTTTAAAATGAAAAAAGAAGCTAGGTCTGACTATTTATTCAAAGCTGTGGTATTTCAGAACAGCAGGGTAGTAATGGAAACCACCACCATCTCAGATTCATCTAGATTTTGTTAAAGGTATTTAGGTACTTAGACAAGTATCTTTTAATGGATTCCTCCTCAGCCATCTCTATCTATAATTCATAGATGATAGCTAGCTAGACATCTTTATTTTTTAGATATCTTAATTTAGCTGGCAATGTAAAAGAATAGGGGAAGGAAGTAATGAAGTTTTCCTTCTCTTTTTCAGTAGGCTTTGAAAAGCAGTTACATGCACAGCAAGAAAAGATTAATAAAACTTAGGACACATTAACTAATTATAGGGTAATGGGACAGGTTTTACACTATTTCAAAATACACCTCCATTGGGAAGATGTGTCACATAAGATCCAATCATTATTAACCATATCACCAGTTTTAAATATGGCATTTATATACTGTTTTCAGTTTTCTCTGAAAGTCAAACACTAGCTTTGCAATGTGTAAAAGCAAGAAAAAAAATCTCCAAACCACAAATTTGTATTTAATGTGTATAAAACCCCCCCAAAATCCCATTTAATATTGAATTAATGACTAAGAAAGACCACTTAAAAGCATTCCAAACTCTACCGTAATTGAAGAAAAATCACATCTGACAGAGCTGTTTACCACCAACAGCACAGAAACTTCTCTAGGACTCTTCTACTGAATTAGACAAAAGAAACACAAAACATTACTAAAGCAAAACCTCTAGCAGGCAATCAGAAAGTACTAAAAACATTTTGTGTTTTTAAGATAACACATTAGAGCCTGTTTAAAACAAGCCTTTAAAACAATAATCCTCCAAAAAAAGATCACACACAGAGTCAGTGATATCTGGCTAGCAGAAGTTTATGTATGTTTACTGAAGTTAACTTGGCCCAGGTGAGGATCACACCTAAATTCCTGCATTTAACAGAATATGTTTTTAATGCTTTTCCCCCGACCTTCACACTCCATTGAAGCAATTATATTTTATCTATAATTTGGTGTTTAGTGTTGGTTTATGTTGTGAATAAATACTTGATGGTATTAACACTACGAGAGTTGTTTCTTTTTAAACAGCTATTGCACACAAACCGTGTTTTAAAAATATTTATGATGGATGCATATACATGTATGCGTGTGCCTACATACAGACGCACATGCAGAGCCTGACTTCCACGAGGCAGCAACAGGTAGTGACCTTTCATCTCAAAACCAAAGTAATTTCTCAGCTACAGAAACAGCACTTACAGATGAAAAAACCAGCAAGCCTGGGGTTTTGCAGATTTTTTTTAGTCTATCTGTATTTTGAATGACTTGCTTACAGTCTAGAAGCCCATGGTATAAATTTCATCCCAGAGTGAATTTTTATGATGGAGTTATAAACCCCTAAAGAAACAGGGTTTACAATGGAAGTGCTGACATAACTAACTATAGCAGCACTAGCACTGCCTCTGCAATCAAGGCACATTATATTTATGAGGTAGGTGAAAGTCTGTAACCATCAATCACTGGAATCATATTGACAGATTCTAAGTTTGAGGTCCAACAGAATTAATGTATTCAGTTTCTCACACCATCGATACGGAGGGGAGAATTTGCAGGCACTTTTATGGGCTTAGGCTTTGACATCTTTACAGAAATCAGTGAAGGGCTGTCTTGCTGAAACATTTCATTCATCTGCTGCCTCAGCTTTTCTAGGGTTTGCACCAACCTTTCACACAAAATGCTAAAGAAGTAGATTGTCCAGAAACCAAATGTGACCTTATGCACATACATGTGCTTCATGAGCTGGTCATTACAAACATTAATTCTGTGTATATCCACCAGACATTTAAAATAATACCCCAGAATGATTAATCACCCAAAGAATATCCAACTCCTAAATTATAACTCAACATCCCTATATAAAACAATCTAAAATGTCAGCACCTCAGTCTTTATGATATCACACCGTTCCAATAATTCTGTTTTACAAGTAAATTCCTATTATACATTAATAAGTGCTGTTGGTGGCTAAACTTCATGCCTTTGAGTAATGACCAGGTTGAAGGCAATTAGGCCAGCCAGGTGCAGCTGGGTTAGGTACTAATAAAAAGTTTTTAAATTTTACTATTTCCGTTTGGATTTTGGGGATGCATTCCAATCTGCCCAAATTAGGGAGGAAATTGTTTCCATGTTTTCAGCTGTTCCACGGTCTGACTATTACTGACCGATAACCCGCACAGACTTTTTCTTTCCACTTACACACACCCCTTACTCACAAGACCCCATGTCTTTATTCTTCAACCTTTCAGAGCAGCATAATAGGAAAACTAAGAAACTATTCTGTAAGTTTGCAGAAGTTTTCAGTTCAGCCATAGGGTTAGCTGGGCTTGAGTGAAACTGGTCTGAACACAGAAAATCTGGGTTGGTTTGCAAAGTCCTTAGCTATATATAAATCCAGAATAAGAACTGAAATACAACTACTGTCATCTTCACTCCCTCCATTCCTCTGAAAGTCCAAACTGGTGTGAATGTGTTTTGCATAACAACTCATAGTTTTTATGATTACTTGAAAACTTAATTTCTTTTAATCAAACCTACTTAACATCATTTACACCAATTTTAAAAGCCATGTTTTTATTGAAGTGTATGCAGGATGTGCAGAGTGCTGCCAGTGCCCTTGGGTTAGGTCAGAGGAAGAAGGCTTTCTGAAGTGACACCACTGCAATCAGCCATTCTGTGTGTGTACACATGCACGCTTACATACACCTTTTCCTGCCCTCATGCTCTACACATTTTCACCTGTGAATCTTACTCCACCACAGCCTGAAGCTGAGCACAGAGAGCATCACACAGCTTATGGCCAGAGGCATCAGGAAGCCTCCAATTCTTCTCACCAGGCAAATGCTTTTCTCAGAAGGCAAAGCTACTGCCAGGGACTGGAGGAGCTGGGGAACAGAAGAGCTATCTCATTCCACACAGATGAGTCTTAAAGCCTTGTATAGGTAGCCCTGACCTTCTCCACTGCCTTGTGAAATCATTCTCTCACATCAGTCTTCTGGAAAATGGCAACATGGATTATTTTTAGGAGCTCACAGCAGCATTTGTTAATTTTCATTTTCTACCTGTAAACCATACAGAGATTTGGCAATTTACAGGTGACTGGGACAACATTCTCCAGCAGGATCAGCACAAGCTTCCCCTATTCCTGTCGCCCAGAAAGGCATCCTCAGTGAAGCCTGTGCCAAAATGCTGCTTAATAGGGACTTTAAACCTGCCTGACTACAACCACTTCTGCATGAAAGTTTGAAGCAAAGTGGCCCTGATGAAAACATGTCCCACTGGTGGTTGGGTGACTGTAGAGACACATCTTTCTCCTTCCCAATGACCCAAGTTCAGCTTACTACACTCTTTGACAAGCAGATTTGTATTC